CACTGCGTGCGCCACCAGATTTAATTCGGTGCTTACATGGAGGGATGAAGCAAAACAAGCGAGAGGGCATCCTGCATGGTTTCAGGGAGGGCAACATTCGGGTTCTTTGCGCCACGGACGTTGTGGCCCGTGGTCTTGATGTGCCCGAGCTTGACCACGTCATCAACTATGATCTTCCAGGCGACTCCGACGCGTATGTGCATCGTGTCGGCCGCACGGGACGCGCCGGCCGTCGAGGAACGGCGCACACGTTTATTCTCGCCGGCGACAATCGTGCCCCGCTGATTGCCCGCTTCATCGCAAAACAGCAGGGTACCGCGTTGCCGGAAGATGTGCTTGCAATTATTCATGACATTGAGCTCCATGGCAGAGCGGCGACGGAGCGTCCAAAGTACAAAGACCACGCACGTGTCGCGGGCAAAGACTGGCGCGTGTATGGCAGCGCAAAGTCAATAAAACCAGAAGAGCGTCGATATGTCCGGGGATACGGCCATGTCTTGACAATCAAGCGGCCCACCCCACGCAAGGAGAAATAGTCGGTTTCAAATTATGCTCATTCCTGCGTCACGCCATGATCACCCACATCTTTATGCATAAACCCGTATATATATATATATATATATATATTGTATGTATGTGTGGCGGGGAGAATGTGGGGGGAAGTTCCTTTAATCCACATCCATACATACATGTGTACATGTGCATCTATACGTATATATACATATATATATACCGACACTTCACTTGCTTGTTCTTCCGTTCCCTGCTGCGTGATGGTCAGCACGCATTTCTTTTCTTCTTCTTTCCTCTCTCTCTCTCTCTGTTGCTGCCGTGATGAACGCAACCGAAGGAACGTTAAAGAACAGAAGCCAAACAAGAAAAAAAAGCCAATATATAATATAATATATATATATTACTAATAAAATAAGGCAGAGGGCATTGAGTGTAGCCAAAAAGTCAAAACAAAGGGGAAAAGAAAACCAAATATATAAATATTTATATATAAATTAACCAAAAACTTGTGATTGGGAAAAAGGAAGACATAAAAACATCTCCTCCTTTTGGTTGTTGTTTTTTGTTTTTGTTTTTGTTTCTTTATTTCGGATAAAACACATACATAAACACATACATACATAAATATATACATATACATACATACGTTGCTGACAACATATAAGTATAAGTATACATTTAATTATTTATTCACGACGCAATAGGAAGTGAGAGCTGGTGGTAGGGCGGCAAAATATATATATATAGGAAACGTACAACGCAAAGCAAGCGAGCACAAGAAAAATAATTTTAAAGAAAAAATATATATATAAGAGCGGACGAAAAATTTATAAAAAGAAATAAAAGGGAGGGCGGGGAGGGGGGGGAATTTTAAACAAAAAAAAGAAAAAAAAAGGAAACATTTGCCCACAAAAGACACAAACAACAAAAAGAAAAAAAAAAAAGACAGAATTGAAAGGGGTAAAGGAGCGGTGAGTGGGGGCAGTGATGGCGGAACACCTGTTGGAGCAGCTCCGGGATGTGATGGTCCTTCAGCCGAGTGACGGGGCGGTAGGTAACGGGGAAATGGATACGAGCGCAGCAAATAGCCATAAATATTCGGTTGTATCCACCTTCACAAACTCTCCGTTTGTGGCGGTTCTGGAGGATACTGAAAATAACGAGGATGACGAAAAGGAGTTGATTCGGCTGTTGGATGAGCTGAGCCACCGAATACACTGCAGTGACGCGGCAGATGATGTGGAGCGACCTTCCGGCAGCTTTGCCGTGGAGAAGGTAGAGGCCCCTACTTTGCGTGCAAGCCACATGGCACCGCCCATTTATGGCTCACCAGCACCGGCGGGAGGCAGTCCTTTCAATTACGCGTCATGTGTCTCACAAACTACAAAGCCGCCACCGTCTTTTGCGGAGGCTGTGGCCACAACCCCTCCCCTCTCCGAGGTGCCGGTGGAACTGTCACCGTTGGCGGCGCATTATGTCCCCCCAATGCCTGCCGTACAGCAGGACCCAATTCTTCTCCGCAACACACACGGGGTTTTCATGCTGCGTCCCATCACGAAGCCCACACCGCCGTACACACCGCCAAGCCTAACCTCATCCATCTCCCAGCCACCACGTTACGCACTGCCACCCGCAGCGCTTCCGCAATCACAACCTCATTTTCTTGGAAGCTCCTTGGCACAGGTGGGCGGGCTGGCCGACGCGCAAATACCGAAGAAATCCAGTTTCAGTCCGTATGAAATTCCACACTCTATGAACAACGTCATCGGGGGAAGTCAAATTTTGGGCACTGGAGGCGCTGGCAACTATACATACATCAGCACCTCAGTTAAGTCGAAGTCGACCAGTCATATGCAGCCGCCCCCACCGTACCCCTCGTAGTGGGACGAGCAACGCAAAAGGAAACACGAAAAAAAAAAAAAAAAAAAAAAAAGAGAGAGAGAGAGAGGAAGGGTGGTGGAGTAGGCGTTGAATGTGGATTTTACCAACGGGGACACAAAAGCAGGCAGGTGTCTGTTCCCCGTGTGAATTTTTTTAGTTTGAGCTCATTTTCAGTGGATTATGATGTAAGGAGGATGTTACTGCCACCAACATTGTTATTGTTTATTGTTTTTCCTGTAAATTTTCCGTTTTTTTTTTTTTTTTTTTTTTTTTTTTCTATATATTTATATATTTATATATGACAGTTATTACTTTATCTGTGCCATATGCCGTGTATCACCGAGAGAAACTATCAGAGTAGCGGAAAACCCAGTAAAAAAAAAAACAAAAAAAAAAATTAGCGAGTCGAGATGCATAGAGAGAAGGAGGAGAAGGAGGAAGAGGAAGAGAAGAAGAAATAGAGGGAAAAGGAAAAAATTAGCACTTAACGAAGGGAAGAAATAAATAAAAAAACAACACCGAATAAGGAGGGAGACAGAGAGAGAGACAGAGACAGAGAGACAGAGAGAGAGACAGAGACAGAGAGAGAGAGAGACAGACTGTGGGTGTATATTAGGGGGGAGCAATTAACAAGAACATTGGGACATGGGCGTCGGTGTTGTCAATAAAGGTGGGCGATGATGATGTTGAGGATGAGGATGTGTGTTGCTTGTTTGTGCTTAAATTTACTTTGTTTGCATGCTTTCCCCTTATTATCTTCATTGTTGGGCTTTATTGGAGGAGGAGAACAGGGGAAAGGGAGGGAGAGAGAGAGAGAAAGAGAAAGAGAGAGAGTTTGAGGAAAATGAAGAGGAAAAAAAAGAAAAAAAGAAAAAAAAGAGTACATCCATCTGTGAGAGTAACAGGGATGGCGTATTGTATTGTAGTGTGGTGGTGGAGTGGGTGCAGGCGCGAGGAAGGATACATGCATACATCGCTCGACTGGGTGCGTACGGGAGGCGTGCTGGAACGAAAACCAAACAAATCCACATAAATACATACATACATACACACAGAGAGAGTGTGTGTGTGGGTGAGAGAGTGAGAACGATAATCGATCATCTTTGGCAATTGAACCATTTTTGTATGTAAAGAAGAGCAGTGAGTCCACTTCTAATATATTTATATTTGCATATATATATATATTGTATCATTTTGTTGTTCTTGTTTGTTTGTTTGTTTGTTTGTTTTTTCCTTCTGCTGCTGAATGTGAATTCTTCTTTCTGCTTAAATGCGTAACGTTTTTTGAAGGTCCCATTTCACTTGCCAAAATTAATCCGATTTATTGTTTTTCTTTACGAGGGCATTAGAATTGGCTTGTGCAGCCGGTAGGAGGAATGTACGCCGAAGTCCTTTGTCTTTCTTCTTTTTGTTTGTTTGTTTTTTTAAAAGGGGATTATTCTTCTTTTAAAAGTAGGAATTTATTGCGCCTCAGTCCCCACACACACACACACACACCTCCTCTGTCGGCGAGTCGAGGGAGCCACCAGCCATATTCACGCACCACACGGGCGGTGAGGGAGCGGGGGATTTGCGGGAGTCAAAAAAAAAAAAAAAAAAAAACACGTGTGGTGGCAGTGGAGAAGAGGGGAGGAGAAGTGGTGGTGGGGTGTGAGGGAACGCAGCGGTGCCTGTTCCTCCGTGTTTATCAGGTGTTGCATTGCCATCCTAATTGTCGCTGTTGCTCTGGGAGGGCGACGGCGTTTGTTTTCTTTTGTTTTTCTCATTTATTTTCTTAAATTTTTTGTTTTTTTGTTTTTCATTTGTTTCTCTCTCTCTCTCTCTCCTCACCTTATATCCTTTTCTCCCCCCTTTTACTTCATGCCCTCTTTGTTTTTGAGTGTATCCTGCCGTGGCTATTAAAGTGATCAAGAGACTCTCTTATCTCTTACTGTTCATTTACACTTAAACACACACACATACACACACTTTCTTTCTCCCTCTTTTACTATTTTGGGAAGAGAAAGAGAGAGAGAGGGAGAGAGAGAGAGAGAGACGTCTTTATGGTTATGGGCTTACAGCGGACGATCTTACGTGCATGTGTGTGTTTGTGTGCCGTTGGATTTTGTTTTGTTTTTATTGTTATGAGTATTGCAATTGACGTGCATCACCCACGGCATGGTTGTTTTCCTATTACCAACTGGTCTTTGACTGCATGGCTTTTTCTTTTTATTATTATTATTATTGTTAATTTTATTGTGTTTGTCCTTCTGTTTTATGTTATTGTTCTTTGTGTCTTGTCTTGTCTTTCCTTTCTTTTTTCTTTTTTTTATGTGTGTTTGTATGTTTGTTCCCCCCACCCCACTTTTGTGTAGCTTAACACACGGACCGTTTGTGCAGGAGGACCCGGACAGGGAGTGGAGGAGGGCGGAGAGGGGGGACAGGGATATATCAACATTAGGACGAGTAGTCAACACAAGAAGTGAGGCATTCGTATAAAATTAGTACTTCGTCTCTCTCTGTGGGGGGGGCCGCAACAAGCTGCGTTAGTACACACGCAGAAAAGAAAGGAGAAGAAAATAGAAATAAATAAATACAAAAAAGAAAAAAAAAAAGGGGGAGGTGAAGGAGGGGGTACAGGGCACGGCATTATTTTGTGCGGATTTTTATATTCCTTTGGGTAGGGGCGGCTGTATTTTTATTGTGCCCGCAGTCTCCGCACACCGCAGTTCCATGCAGATCACTCCGAGGAAAAGCGGCGGCACGGCACCCGTGAGCCAACTCCCCATTTTCAGCCGCAGCAACTCCAGCGCCGGCCTTGGAGTGGGAGGGCATTCGGCGCGGCCCTCCGTCCATCTGCGCTGCAGCCTTCTGCGCACACCACCGCCTCGTCATCATCACGTTTCACCCTTGGGAACGGCCGCTGTCGCCAGCGCCGGTGGTGGTGGTGGTGGTGGTGGTGACGGCACCACGTCGCCTTCCCTCGCGCCGTCTGAGGCCTATCCGTTTCCATCATCCGGCAGACGGTTCGAGAGGCTGCACAGCGGTCGCCGTGGGCTGGGAAACCACAGCGAGGAAATGTTGCCATATTTGGATTTGGATTCTGTGGCCAGCGAGGCGGAGACGGCAGCGAACGCCATGTCGCGTGAGGAATTAGAGAGTGCCGTGAAGGAACTGGAGACGGAGAACCTCATGCTGAAGAGCGCCGTTCTCCGCGCCCGTGAGGAGTTGACAAAACAGCGGGAGGGTCTGCGGGAAACGTACGAGGCGGCGGAAAAGGAGGGCGAGAGTATTGCAAATCATCTCACACGCCGTGTCAACGCCGTACGGGAGCAGAAGGCACGGCTAGAGACTCAGCTGCACAAGGAGGAGGCGATGAAGGCGGAACAGGAGCAAAAGCTTCTTAAACTTAAACTGAGCAGCTCCAAATTATCAAAGTGCGTGCAACGTGAGGAGGAAGAGACCCTGACAGCGTTAACGAATCGGCTGCAGCAGCTGCAAACTCAACGACAAAATTTTGAGAATCTTTTGTTAGAGCAGTCTTCTTCGCTGCAGCAATTACAGGAGCTTGTGGATAGTCTTCAAACTCAGACAAGATGCAACGAGGGCCTTCGCGTGTCGCACGAGGGATGCTCAGAGGCGGATGGGGATTCAAATTCTGCTGCCGCAGATGCCATCGCGCCGGCTGAGCAGCACTCGTTTCGGAGCGAAACCGCTGAGCACGCGGATCCGGCGAGCGACCCGCAGGAGATGCTTCAGTATCTGAAGCATGAGGTCGCCTTTGTAGAGGGATTACAACGTGAGGCTTTTGAGCGAGGGGAACGATACAAGCTGAGGCGACAGGAGCTTGAGCAGCGAATTTCACATGCGGAATGTGAGCGTCGCAGCAACCGACACTCCTTAGAAGGCATCCATCAGGAGCTGCTGGAGACAACAGCCACAGTGTCAGAGTTGGCGTCCGCGGCGGAGCTGGCGATGGAGACTCAGATTGATCGACAAATCCACGTCCGTGGTTGTACCGGCTCTTTCACCAGCGGCAGCCGTGAATTCCAAACGTCCAGCCGCTTTAAAGAGTCACCTAAAGGGCCAGCCACGAATTCCGCGCAGCTGCAGTCGAATTCTCCCTCTTCAAAGAAGTAAGTGTATATATATATATATATATACATATATATGATCATGGCTTTTCTTTTGTTTTTCTTTGCCATTTATTTTGATTTACCTTTATTTTTCCTTTTGATATGCTTTACTTTGGCGCTGCCCCCCGCACCCTTTAGTTTGGCTCACGTCCCGAAAGCGAATTCCTCTTCCACACTGGTGTTGCTTCGATATGCAGGTGATTTTTCTTTTTTTTTTTTTTTTTTTTTTTTTTTTGCGGTGGCGGCCACGGCGGGGCGGAACAGACGTAATGCATTCAAAATGGAATAAAAGGGCGGTGAAGCTGCAAAAATATTTTTTTGTTTATAGCGGATGAAACATAAGAAGAAGGAGTAGAAAGACGAAAAGGGGAAAAAAAAGAAAAGAAAAGAAAAGAAGGAGGGAGAGAGAGAAGGCAAAAAGGGAGGAGGTGGTGGTGTGTGGAGTTGTAAAAGGGAGAGGGGAAGCGGGGGCCAATGCGAATCCACATTGCGGTGGTTTTCGGTCGTGTTTTGTTTTGTTATTTGCTTTTTTTTTTTTTTTCTTGTGTGTGTGCGGGGCATCCCTTCAAGTGCTGGCGGTAGAGAGAGTGAGAGATGGACGCACTTTACTTTGCCTCATTCATCCCGCTCCGCCCCCACTCACTCACCGCCTCCCGTCTCTGTGTGTGTGCGTTGTTTACTTTTGTGCGCATGCCGCCCTTACTGTTCCTGTTTTTTTGTTTGTTTGTTTGTTTGTTTCTCGTGCGCTCACCCCTTTTGACTTTAAGGAGGTTGTTTTTTTGTTTTTCTTTTTTGCTGCATCTTTGTGTGTGTGTCTCTTCTTGCGCTTCGTGCATTTCCTGCCGCACGACGCTCTTCTTTCCCCATCCGTTGCTCTTTTTGTGTGGTGCCGGTGGAAGCTCACATTATCACGGCGGAGTTCGGTGGCGCGGAATTCATTTTCCCTTGTAATATTTGCGTGCGTGTGTGTGTTATGGGTGCAGCGATGAAGCAGAGCATGGCACGCAGCAGACGGTTGAGGCGCCCCTGCATCAGCCTCACCTTTGCGCTGCTCTGCCTCTTTCTAGTGACGGTTGTGTACATCACGGCGTACACCGTTGGAAAGTTTTCGATGGACGCGCGCGGGCGGGAGAAGTTGGATTTGACCGACCGCATCATCCACTCCATGACGAGGCGCTTTCAGGAGTGCCAGGCGCAGAAGCAGCTGCTGAAGAACGGCCAGACCACCGCACGTATGGCTCTTGAAATTGCCCAGGAGACAAAAAAGAAGTTGGAGATGGAGCTTGGGCTGATGCGGAACCGCAACACCCTCATGCTGCAGTCCGTCGAGGAGTGCAAGAAGGAGTTGGAGCTGCTGAAAGAAAACGGTCGTGGCGCGGTGACGTTGGCGCTTCAGCTCGACCGCCTTACAAAGGAGCGTCAGCTTTACATGGACGCCATCGCCGTCGTCAACAGGAGCAGCGACGTGGGGCGGCGGCAGACGGCCGATGTTTTTGCGGCCATCGCGAAGGAATTTGACGAATGGGAGGATGCCGCGCCGAACAAAACCGAACTTTTAACAAATTGTAACAACGCGATGCGACGCTACAGTATTGTGTTTGACGCCGGGAGCACCGGCAGCCGGGTGCATGTGTTTCGTTACAACTTAACATCAACCCCGCATGCGGGCAATTTCAGCTGGAACGGCACAAGACCCTCACTGGCGTCATTTCTGCGTCTGGACGATGAGCTTTTTGTTGAGAACTATGAGCCCCTGTCGAGTCTTGCCAACCCCAATGATGCAGTCGCATCCCTTTCACCCCTGCTTGAGGCCGCGAAGGCATACATCCCGGAGTCGTTGCATGCATGTGTACCAATTGAGATGAAAGCAACGGCGGGGCTCCGGCGCATTGGTCGTGAGCGTGCAGAGGCTGTACTGGATGTCGTACGTCGCCTCTTTGCGCGTGGACCATTTTGGATGCAGTCGGAGTTGGACTCCGTACGCATTCTTGAGGGATGGGAAGAGGGGCCGCTCGCATGGCTCACCGTTAATTATCTCCTTGGCGCATTGAATGGGGACAACAACACGGCCACTATTCTTGATCTTGGCGGCGGATCGACCCAAATTGTCATGCACCCCAGTGATCCCAAAGCCATTGAAGCTTATGCCGAGTTCTCATATGCACTTAAGGTGAATGGTCGTTCTTTTGTGGTGTACCAGCATAGTTACGAGGGCAATGGATTGCACGCTGCTAAGGAACAACTCCTCCAGGCCGTGGCAGCGAACAACACCGGTGCGAACTCCAAGGTCCAAGCGGCGAATAAAATTGCCACAGGAACGGATGCGACTCCCGGTGCTTCTGCTGACGTGGCCGTTGATGCCTTCCCCTGTTTTCCAAAAGGATACGTTCACACGGAAACAGGCATTTCTAATACGAGGGACGGTGGTAAGGTGCCATCGATGGAGGAATGCTCGGCGCTTTTCCGCCGTCACGTCGTTCGGAAACATCAACCGTGCGGCAGTAATTCCTGTGGATTCAATGGTGTCTTTCAGCCGGATATTTCAGCCGTGCCAATGGTCCCTGTGTATGCCTTCTCCTTTTACTACGACCGCCTAAAGCCATACATAAAAGATGAGGTCATCCGTGTGCAGGATGTATTGGATATTGCTAGTCAAGTGTGCCGTTCCATGAAGTCTGTGCGGGAACTCCTTGAACAAAACGACACGAAGA